ATATTCCATTGTGTATAAATGCCACATTTTTTTATCCATTCATCCATTGAAGGGCATCTAGGTTGGCTCCACAGTCTAGCTATTGTGAATTGTGCTGCTATAAACATTAATGTGGCTGTGTCCCTGTAGTATGTAGGTCCTTTGGGTATAGACCGAGAAGAGGGATAGCTGGGTCAAATGGTGGTTTCATTTCCAGCTTTCCAAGGAATCTCCATACTGCTTTGCAAGTTAGGTGCTCCAATTTGCACTCCCACCTGCAATGTATGAGTGTAGCTTTCCCTCGCCCCCCCCCCCATCCACGCCAGCACTTGTTATTGTTTGACTTCATAATGGCTGCCATTCTTGCTGGAGTGAGATGGTATCTTACAGTGGTTTTAATTTGCATTTCTCTGATTGCTAGAGATAGTGAGCGTTTTTTTCCTGTGTTTGTTGATTGATTGTATATCCTCTTCTGAGAAGTGTCTGTTCAGGTCCTTGGCCCATTTATTGATTGGGTTATTTGTTTTTTTTGGTGTTTAGCTTTTTGAGTTCTTTGTATACTCTTGAGATTAGAGCTCTATCTGATGTGTGAGGGGTAAAAATTTGTTCCCACGATGTAGGCTCCTATTCACCTCATATATTATTTCTCTTGCTGAGAAAAAACTTTTTAGTTTGAATTCGTCCCATTTGTTCATTCTTGGTTTTAATTCTTGTGCTATAGGTACCTTAATAAGGAAATTGGGGCCTAACCCCACGTGATGAAAATTAGGGCCAACTTTTTCTTCTATTAGACGCAGAGTCTCTGGTTTGATTCCTAGATCATTGATCCATTTTGAGTTAACTTTTGTGCATGGTGAGAGATAGGGATTCAATTTCATTTTGTTGCATATGGATTTACAGTTTTCCCAGCACCATTTGTTGAAGATGCAATTCTTTCTCCATTGCATGCTTTTAGCACCTTTGTCTACTATAAGTTAGTTGTAATTTTGTGGGTTAGTCTCTGTATCCTCTATTCTGTACCATTGATCTACCAGCCTGTTTTGGTGCCAGTACCATGCTGTTTTTGTTACTATTGCTCTGTAGTATAGTTTAAGATCTGGCATAGCAATACCACCTGTTTCACTCTTCCTGCTTAGAATTGCTTTAGCTATTCTGGGTCTCTTATTTTTCCAGATGAATTTCATAATTGCTTTTTCTAATTCTGTGAGAAATGCCATTGGGATTTTGATCGGAATCACATTGAATCTGTAAAGTGCTTTTGGTAATATGGCCATTTTAACAATATTAATCCTGCCTATCCATGAGCAAGGTATATCTTTCTTCTAAGGTCTTCTTCTATTTCTCTCTTTAGGGTTCTATAGTTTTCATTGTATAGATCTTTCACCTCTTTTGTTAAGTTGATTCCCAAGTTTTTTTTGTTGTTGTTGTTGTTGTTTTTTTGAGGATATTGTGAATGGGGTAGTTTTCCTCATTTCCATTTCAGAGGATTTGTCACTGATATACAGGAATGCCTTTGATTTGTGGGTGTTGATTTATATCCTGCCACTTTGCTGAATTCATTTACTAGTTCTAGAAGTTTCTTGGTAGAGCCTTTTGGGTCTTCTAGGTATAGAATCATATCATCAGCACAGAGTGCTAGTTTAAGTTCTTCTTTTCCTATAGTTATTCCTTTAATTTCTTTCATCTAATTGCTCCTGCCAGTGCTTCAAGAAGTGGTGAGAGAGGGCATCCCTGTCTTGTTCCAGATTTAAGAGGGAATGCCTTAAGGTTTTCTCTGTTTACAATGTTGTTGGTCTGAGGCTTAGCGTAGATAGCTTTTACAATGTTGAGGTAAGTTCGTGTTATCCCTAGTTTTTCTAGTGTTTTGAACATAAAGGGGTGCTGTATTTTGTCGAATGTTTTTTCTGCATCTATCAAGATGATCATATGGTTCTTATCTTTAAGTCTATTGATGTGGTGAATTACATTTATTGATTTCTGTATGTTGAACCAACTTTGTATTCCGGGGATGAATCCCCCTCGATCATGGTACATGATCATTTTGAAATATTTTTGTATCTGATTTGCCAGAATTTTATTGAAGATTTTTGCATCTATATTCATTAAAGATGTTGGTCTGAAGTTTTCTTTCTTTGATGTGTCTTTGTCTGGTTTTGGAATCAGGGTGATATTGGCCTCATCAAATGAATTTGGAAGTACTCCCTCTTTTTCTATTTCCTGAAATAGATTGAAGAGTATTGGTATTAGTTCTTCTTTAAAGGTCTTGTAAAACTATGCTGTATATCCATCCGGTCCTGGGCTTTTCTTGGTTGGTAATCTTTTGATGGCTTCTTCTGTTTCCTCACTTGGTATTGGTCTGTTTGAGTTATGTATATCTTCCTGACTCAATCTGGGCAGATCTCATATGACTCATATGACTTAAGGAATTTATTGACGCCTTCACTATCTTCTATTTTATTGGAGTATGAGGTTTCTAAATAATTTCTAATTATCTTCTGTATTTCTGTAGTGTATTTTTTAGGTGTAGATGGACACAACACAATGCCTTTGTTATTATTATCATTTTTTTATGTGTTGCTGAGGATCGAACCTGGGTCCCAAACATGCTAGGCGAGCACTCCACCGCTGAGCCACAATCCCAGTCCCCACAGCTTACTTTTTAAACATGTCTTCTAAGGACAGAAGTTTTTAGTTTTGATAAATTCTTGTTTTTAACTTTTCATCTTTTTATTGTAGTGTTTTTTTTCTAAGTAATCTTTGCCTACTCTAAGAGATTAAAATACTCTAATAAAGATACTTTTCTAAAAAGTTTTTTTTTTTTTTAGTTTTGTCTCTTATAAGTGTGTGAACCTCAATTTAATATTGAGGTTTAAATGTGCAAAGGGAGTCCAAGTTCATTTTTCCTTCATATGAATAGTCACTTATTCCAGCACCATTTTCTTAAAAAACAAAACAAAACTTCAATTACATTAGTGTACAAATCAATGATTAAGTAGCCACTTATATGTACATCTGTTTCTGGACTTTGCTCTTTTCCATTGATCTATTTCTGTTCTTACTATCTTATTACTGTGACTTTATGGTGTTGAAATCAGAATGTAATTTCTCCAACTTTGTCTTCTTTTTCAAGATGGTGTTGTCGGGCTGGGGATGTGGCTCAAGCGGTAGCGTGCTCGCCTGGCATGCGTGCGGCCCGGGTTCGATCCTCAGCACCACATACAAAGATGTTGTGTCCTCCGAAAACTAAAAAATAAATATTAAAATTCTCTCTCTCTCTCTCTCTCTCTCTTAAAAAAAAAAAAAAAAAAAGATGGTGTTGTCCATGCTAGGTAGTTGCATTTCCACATAAGTTTCTACCAAAATAAAAAGGCCTGGTATGATTTTGACTAGAATGGTTATAATAGTCTGTGGAGAATATACATCTTAATTTATGAATCTGATGGCTTTTTCTGTTTATTTAAGTTTCTTAAAATAAGTATTTTTAGTTGCAGATGGGTACAATACCTTTATTTTATTCATTTATTTTTATGTGGTGCTAAGAATTGAACCCAGTGCCTCATACATGCTGGACAAGCACTCTACCACTGAGCCACAATCACATCCCTTATTTAAGTCTTAATATTTTTCTTAGCAGTATAATTTTTAATTAGAAGTCTTAACATTTTAAATTTTATTTCTAGATATTTTGTGTTTGGTGCTATTGTGAATTTTTTTTCAATTTTATTTTCTGGTTATTCTTCCCAAAATACCTGAAGGTAGTCTTTTTGTTTTGCAGTAGTGGAGGTTGAACCCAGCATGCTCTACCACTGAGTTATAGCCTCAGCTCTTTTTATTTTGAGACATGGTCTCCCCAAGTTGTCCAGGCTGGCCTTGAATTTGTGATATTCCTGCCTTGGCATTGAAAGTCTCTGGGATCATAGGCATGCCTGGCTGTGAAAACAGTTCTTTGTGAGACTGCTCCATACTTTGCTCAGTATTTCTGCACCCATCCTCTAATAATCATAGTGCTGTCCAGTTACTATGACAGTGGAAACTCCAAAGACACTTCCAAATGTTCCCTGATAGAGGGTGGGAGGGCTGTTGTCAACTTTGTGAAAGAAATGGCCTTTTGCAGTAGAGGGCCATGATAACCTTAAAGTCTGAGTGAACACTGAGATTTTCTACCATTTTCAGGGTACATTATAATTCTGGATTTCCAGATTTGCTCAGGGCATTTTATGACTATATATAGCCTAACTACTTTTAGAGAATCTGTTATTTAAAGCACTATTCCAGAAAAGATGAAAATATATGAATTTATAGCTAACGTTGTATGGCAAAAAAGGATCTTGGTAAAAGGGTATCTTTGTGGGGGGCAGCTTTTTTAATGAGACTTTTCCTTCAAAATTAAAATGAAACAGGCAACATTGTGAGATATGAGATATTGTCTTTATTTTCACTAAAAGGACCTATTTTTTTTTTCCCCGAGTTAGATGCTATAATTTTTGCTTTCTAACCAGCTTGTTGGCATCAGTTCTTAATTTCATGCCTTGGAATTTTTGTATATTTCTATATTAATTAAGATATCGTGGGTGGTCTAACAAATGACTAATGACTGTCCTTACTATCTTTCCTTTAGGTTCTAATCTAAAAATATATATATATTTTTAGTTGTAGATGGACACAATACCTTTATTTTATTTATTTTTATGTAGTGCTGAGGATTGAATCCAGTGCCTCACATGTGCTAGTCAAGCACTCTACCACTAAGCTAAAACCCAAACCTAGGCTCTAATTGGGTGTTCTAAATCATTTGTGTTAGAAAGATAGCTTTCTGAGCTGGGCATGGTAGTTTGTATCCAGAATCTTAACCTCTTCTTGAGGTTGAGACGGGGAACATGAGTTCAAGACCAGCTTGGGCAATGTAGTGAGACCCTGTTTCAAAAAAAAAAGAAGAAGAAAGCCTTGTGTTTATGGTAGTCACTGTGTTGAAATAGTTTAGTACCTTGGGATTAATATTTGACCATTTCTTGAATTTGAAGGCACAGCAGCAACGCCATGAAAGAGATTTGGCCCTTTTGAAACTGAAGGCTGAACAAGAAGCTCTGGAATGTCAGAGACAATTAGAAGAAACTCGAAACAAAGCAGCTCAGGTAATTTATTTTACAGTAGGTTTTCTAAACCTAAATTTGTATCTTAGAAATTACTGTAGTTTTTTAAATTACATAGGAATAAAAAAGAAAGGATATAAACAAGAATGTTTAAATTCTTTGTATGGGATTTGTAGCAACCCTGTGAAATAAATAGGCAAGATTTAATCCCAATTTAGAAAAGTGGCAACTGTGGTATGTTATAATTATTTGTCCAGGCACATCAACTCTGAATGATAAAGTAAATACTTTAAGTATGAAATCCAGCATATAATCAAGTGTTTTTTCACAAGGCACTTGATTTATGAAACAGATATAGATTAAAACTTAATTTGGGGAAAAGGTTGTAGTTCAGTGGTAGAGTGCCTGCCTAACACATGTGAAGCCCTTAGCATAAAATACAGGTATTGTGTCCATTTACAATTGAAAAGATTAAAAATAAAAACTTAATTTGGGTGGAAGGGATAGTGAAACCTAACTTCTTTTCTTGCCCCCTTTTATTTGTAGGTCCATGCAGAATCATTACAGCAGGTGGTTAAATCACAAAGGGAAGTAACCGAAGTCCTTCAGGAAGCAACTTGTAAAATAGCAGCTCAACAAACAGAGACTGCTCGCCTAACCACAGATGCAGCTCGCCAGATCTGTGAGGTAAGACCCTCTGGAGAGTGATTTTCCTTTTTAGTTTTTAGTCAGTCGAATAACTTTGATCTTATCATTAATAAGCTCCTAACATCTAACAACAGCATAATTTGAATCAGTGACACTTATTGGGGTCCCTTTTGATAAAAGAATTTTAAAATTCTTATTAGAATATGTTGTGCATATGAATGTTAGGGAATCAGAAAAAAGATGGAGATGAATTCTAAATTTCTGCCCTCTGATTAGCTTTCTAAAAAGATATTAACTTTATTGATGTATAACTTAAAAAGAATGCAGTACATACTTTTAAAGTACATAATAGGGCTGGGGATGTGGCTCAAGCGGTAAGCATGCTCACCTGGCATGCGTGCGGCCCGGGTTCTATCCTCAGCACCACATACAAACAAAGATGTTGTGTCCGCTGAAAACTAAAAAAATAATAAATATTAAAAAAACAAATAAATAAAATAAAGTACATAATATATAATTCCTTATAAATACCACCATAATCAATAGTAGAATATTTCTATCAGTTCCAACATGCCTCTTTGCAGTTAGTACTCAATCTTGGCCTCAGGGAACCACTGTCTGCTTCATATGGTGATGTTTCATTTTTTTCATTTTTTTATCCAGAAGAATATTAGTCCATGTGTTTTTTTTTTAATTGTACCAAGGGTAAAGCCAGAAATAATTTCATTGCTTTCTCTATAAAATAAATTATCTCCTGACATTTTATTTTAGCAATTATAATTTATTTAAGGAAAAGTTAGGACTATTAGTAAAATGACTAAGTTATTAAAAATTCATGAACCTACTATATTTTTGGGTACCATAGGGTTGTACAAATAAATATAAAATTGAGTCTCCTTTCTCGAGAAAATTTTAACATAGTAGAAAACATAACAAAAGATTTCAAAAATACTTTTAAATCATCAGTAGGAGAAATAGCTCAAAGCAGTAATAGGATAAATGCCAAATGAATAATATATGCAGCAATTGGAATAGTGGTGAAGAGTAGGGCAAAAGTACTTCATATTGTTAGTAGGGAAAGCCCTATAAAGGAAGTAATTGAATTGATTCTTAAAAAGATTTATTACTGCTTATTATATGACTTGAAGGTGTTCTCTCTAATTTGTAGATTATTATAGCTTAGAAATTATGTAGTTAACCTCTTTGTTTTTATAAGATGAGCCTGTTGGGATTTAAAGAGGCTAAATGACATGCCCACGATATTTCACATATTAGTAGCAGAATTTGCTTGTTTTCTATCAAGTTATCCTTTCCAAGACACTGCTCCCTCTCAGTTCTTCTGTGATATCTTTTACATCTGTGTTTGCTTTTGTTGTGTGTTCATATTTAGATGGCAGAATTGACTCGAACTCATATCTCAGATGCCATCACTGCTTCAGGAGCTCCTCTTCCAACGCTGTATGATCACCAGCAGCAACACCTTCCAGACTTCATGAAACAATTGAGGACCAGAGCTGAAACAGATAGGTTAGTATTCATTAATTCATCAGACACTCATCTCCAGTGAGTATCTCTGTGTCCAAGGCACTAGGAATTTAATTATGGGCATAAAATCTAGTAGGGAATATAAATACTCAGTTGAACGAATAAATACTTAAAATACTGGACATGAGTGTCATGAAAGAAAGGAACTCCATATCTCAGGAGACGGGGGTATAAGGAGGTTAGAAAAGGCATTCATGAGAAACTCAAGCTTGTGGTAACATCTACTGGATGGGAAGTTAGTGATAAGACGAAGGTAAAGAATAGGCAGTTATAAAGCTCTGAGGGAAGAAAGAACATGACATGTTTAAGGAAATGAACAGAAGACCAGTGTGACTAGAGGAAGCGAACAAAGAGGAGACAATGCATTTTGATAGGATCTTACAGATTTCAAGACTTTTGTGTTTGTTCTAGAAACAATGAAAAATCAAAGTTTTTTTTTTTAGATGAGCTGGATGACAAGATCATATATTTATGTGTGTTATTTTTTAAAATCATCCTTTGATTTTCTCCAATTTATAGATTTTTAGCCTCTATTTGCATTCATTGATATTAGGACTGTTGTGGGTTTGTTTCCCTTAATTAAGCAGAAGGTATCTTTTATGTACTATATGTCTTTTTTTATTATTAAATGCCTTTTTCCCCTCAAATATTTTGTAACAGTTACTTCATAATATCTATGCATTCAAAATTTTATCTCATTTATTGTTAAACAGTCTTCAAAATCTTTCTCTTATTGGAGACTGGATGTTGAATCTGTTTTTATTTTCTTTGTAGGATAAGTCAATCTTTTTCACTCTCTCAGAGTAAAGAAGAGACCCTTGACACAAAGCATCAAAAGTATTCCCCTTCATTTGATACTTACTCTGAGTCTTCAAGATACAAGAATCATGATCAAAGGTGAAGACAGTTTTGGTTTTTTTTTATTGATTCAGTTTGGCAAACTCTAACAAAGGGCTTAAACATTGCTTTTCCTTGACTTCTTATTTCTGTAAATGGAACAATGGCTGCCTCTTTAATTAGGTAACTTACAAATAGTCCATCCATGTAATACAGCTACTACTCCTTGAGAGTCTAGTTGCATAAGCATTGTATATGTTGTTTTTCTTACCTTTAATCTTCCCAGCATCTTTCCAAGTCAGCTAATGTTGTCTTCATAGATTAGGGAACTGAGGCCCATGGAAATGTTAAGCATTTCCCCCAGATTCACATAGTAGTGACACACCAAGACATTGAAATTGACTTATCAGCCTCCAAAGCCTATGTTTATTGCACATTTCCTTACTGGCGTTCATATTTCTTTTCTTTCTTTCTTTCTTTTTTTTTTTTGGTTCTTGGAATTGAACCCAAGGTTGCTCTACCACTGAGCCATATCCCTACCTCTTTTGATTTTTTTTATTTTGAGCCAGGATCTCGCTGAATTGCTTAGAGCCTTGCTATGTTGCTCAGGTTGGCTTTGAACTTGTGATCCTCCTGCCTCAGTCTCCCAAGTTGCTGGGATTACAGGTGTGCACCACTGCACCAGCCCATATTTCTTAACATTAGCATATGTACTAATTATAATCATTATAAAAATATTAAATAGGTTTTTCTTTGGTAGTTAGCACAGTATTAATGTCTCTAGTTTTCATTTATGATTCTATCCTTGAATGAGGTTTTAAAGTTTTAAAGGTTATTTTCCAGCATTCCTTATTAGATAGGATATTGTCATTGTCAAGTACAATAAAGCCTCAATTTAAAAAGTTAAGTCAAAAACATGCACCTGTAATCCCAGCAACTCAAGAGATTGAGGCAGGAGGTTCATAAGTTTGAGGCCATCCTTAGCAACTTAGTGAGACTCTTTCTTGAAATAAAAAAAAAAAAAAGGGATGGGAATGTGGCTCAGTGATGAAGTGTCCCTGGGTTCAATCCCCAGTTTAAAAGCAATGTTTAAACCATCTCCCCCTGCAAATTTTAAAGTATAAGACTAAAAAATGTGAAAGTTAGTGTGGGATGAGTACCAATAGATATTGAGTACCTATTATGTGTGTGAAACTACATGACATTTATTTAATCTTTATTAACAGTTACCTTCACTGATATTTACCTAGTTTAAACCACTGAATTACTGTGGTAGAATAGGTCTCCTCATCCTCTCATCTTTACCCACTGTATTCATTGGCCACATGGTGAGCAGGGTGATTTTTATAAAATTTGCAGCCAACTTAGTCATTCACTTATTTGAATCCTCTCAGACCATTCAAGGTAAAGTTCAAATTATTTGGCATACCATAAAAGTTCCTTCATAGTTGATCCTTGCCAGGTGCGGTGGCCCATGTCTGTAATCCCAGCTGCTTGGGAGACTGATACAGGAGGATCACAAGTCTGAAGCCCACTCAGCAACTCAGCAAGGCCCTGAGTAATTTAGCACACCCTTTCAATGTTTTCTTTTGCTAGAGTATTTTAAAGCAAATCTTAGATCATAGCTTTTGACCAATTAATACTTCAGTGCATATGTCTAAGAAATAAGGACCTAAAAAACTCTAATGCCATTATTGTTGCTGAAAATTTGATCCTGTGCCTAATACCAATCCAACAATGAGGACATGGTTTTGAGAAAAAGGAAAAAAGAAGGTTTATTGCTTTGCTAGAAAAGGAGAAATACAGGGGATACCTGTTCCAAAGGCTGTGATTCTTGCATTGTATCTTTTTATAGCTTTATTAGATTTACCCTTTGGGAAACATTTATTAAGCCATATTGTCATTTAAATACACATTAAAAATATGAATACAGGAATAGAAATGATGAAACCTTCCTGGAAAAATGGGAAGGAGTCCTTGAGAACTTCACAGAAATAATACTTGAAATGAATCTTAAATTAGTGAACAGACAGAGAAGGACAGGCATTTCAGAGATATTTTCTATTTCAGAAATAGCATTTGGAGAGGCTCTTAAAAGCTGAATCAGGATAGGCTTCTAATACCCGCCCCCTTTTTAAATCAGTGAATAATTAAGAAAAATAAGAAGGGAAACATTTGTGAGAATACTGCACAGGTTTCATTTGTTGGCTGAAGGATAGTCAAAATCAGAAGTCTGGTATGCATTTGGATACTTGAGGCAATGTTGAGGGAAGGAAATCGCTGCTAATACAGAGTTGAGGTTTAGTCTGAGTGATAATAGTTGAAGTTACAGGCATGCCATTTGATTGCTCAAGGAAAATGTTATGTAACATAAAAGAGAAAGGAACCAAAATAAAATTCTAGGGAATACCATCATTTTAAAGAAAGATAAAAATTAAAAACAAGTGTCAAACCACAGGAAAACTTCTTAGGGAGGTGGGAAGATAAGTGAGAATAGAACCCTGGAATATAAGAAAGAAGAATTCTTATCAAACAATTTTAACATGTCAGACTTTCAGAAAAGTTTGAAAAATAATGCAGTCTTAAAATAGCTTTCATCCAGATTATCCTAAAGTAGACTTTTTTCTATAGTTTCTTTAGCAAGTAGAGCTTTTAAAGAAAGATAGAGATCAACAACATCTAATGTTACAAAGAAAAAAAATTATTTGATTTTGCAGTTAGAAGTTTAGATAGTTTAAAAAAGAATAGTTCCAGTGTAGCAATTGGGAGAGCATCAGATTGTAAGAGATCATGATGTAATGAAAGGAAATAGAAATAGTGAGTAGAAGCCTCCTTTTCCCAGAACTTTGACTTTGAAAGTAAAGGAAAAAGGGAGCAATAATATAAGAATAGTGGTTGCCTGTTGTGATTATTTCAAAGTGAGACATCCTCTCTCATCTTTTCCAAAATAGTGTATTCTCAGACTTATATCTACTTAGTTTTTGTTTTTATATTACATGTTTCTTCATTGCATAATGTGGTTATAAGGCACAGTCCTTTGGTCAGATAAGTTTTCTTTGAAGTTATGATCCTTATTTGTTTTTTTTGTTTGTTTGTTTCTGTTAACATCCATAAACAGAAGTAGTAGCAGTAGCAGCCGTCAAGAAAGTCCTTCAGTTCTGTCTTTTAAAGAAAATGAGAAGAAACTTTGTGGTGAAAATATGGAGAGTTCAATTGATGAACAGGTTCAGACTGCTGCAAATGATTCTTTACGAAGTGATAGTGTTCCATCTCTTCCTGATGAGAAAGGTAACTTTCTTTGCACATGAATGCATAATTGTTTGCATTGAAACTGGAAGAAAGGTAATTTTTTTTAAAAAAGTGGCAAATGACTTGAATGAATTGTGTCCTAGTGTTTAAGGAAAGTAGAAGTCAAAAATGATGGAGGATATTTAACTAAGACATTTCTAAGGTGCGGAGTAGTTTCTCTTTGCTACTTACAGTAAATTGAAGGAATTGTTAAGCAAAAAAGAACCAGAAATTAAGATTTAGAAAATTCTAAGCCTATCCATAAATCAAAAAAAAAAAAAAAAAAAGAGAGAGAGAGAAAGCATGTTTTGGTGTGGCTGGGCAGTCACTCCACAAAAGATTGCTCATGAGTTTGATTAGCCATCTCAGCAGAATCCAGAAATACAGATGGGATGTTACCTGCAGGGACATTGCCAGTTTGGACTGAAGTAGACAATATGAAACAAAGGAGGGCATTCAGATAAGCCAGTCTTCTCTGGAAGAAGTACCCTCAAAGACACACACAGAATGTTTTTACCAATTTTTTAACATCTCAATCCGGTCAGGTTGACAACCAAATTTAACCATTGCTGGGGAAAAAGAGGTGGTCTAAGTAACTTTGGAAATGGTGTTATGATTAAAAACAGTTAAGTCTAATCCAAAAGTAATAGTACATAAACCCATATTCTAGTTGGTAAACTTGTTTTTTGCAGAGATATAGGTTAATAGTTCTGTGTGTGTGTGTGTGTGTGTGTGTGTGTGTATGGTGCTGGGGATTGAACCCAGGTCCTTGTGAATGTGAGGCAAGCACTCTACCAACTGAGCTGTTTCCCCAGCCCAATTAATAGTTCTTTAACTGTGTGTTGGTGTTGAACAAATAAGTAAGTGAAGATTGGATGGTGGGAGCCAGGTTTCTCAGTGTTAAAAAGGGAAGTTACAGGTAATATAAGAAAAGGAAGACAATCGTGAACTCTTTGGTACTGAATTTGAGTTAGAGACATCAGTATGAATTTTTGTTTACCTTGTTGGATGGATGGATAGAAAAAGCAATTGTGCCTGTGTGTGCACACATATCCAGGTGAGTATATATGCATTATATTACGTCTCTAAGCCTGGAATTCTAAGAAGATAGTTTGTCATTTTTGCCAGTAATATTAAACTTTTTTTTTTTTAACATCATTTTGAGTGTTTACATTTCCTTTGTGGAACGTCTCATCATGGACCTTTTCTCGTTTTTCTAAAAGTGTATTAGTAGTTTTCTAATTGATTTGTAAGAACTCTTTAATGAAGGAATTTTTTTTTCCTAGCGTTTCTAGGTTTTTACGAGTTTTTTTTCACGTTTGTAAGGTAATTGAATTTTATTATTCCATGTCTGTTAAGTTGCTATGAATTTATGTTGGACTGTGCCAGAAAGAGGCAAACAGGCTAAGTTTAAATACCTCCTGAGAGCAGTTACAATGATAAAATCTGCTTTCTTCCTAATTTTTTAGATTCAACTTCTGTTGCAACAGAATATTCTCTGAAATTTGATGAATCCATGACGGAAGATGAAATAGAAGAAAAATCTTTTCGATCTTTACTACCTTCTGAGAGTCATCGCAGATTTAACATGGAAAAGAAAAGAGGCCATCATGATGACTCTGATGAAGAAGCTTCCCCAGACAAGACCACACTGTCTTCTGCCAAGGTGTGTTTCCGTTTGCCTATGGAGGTAAATGTCTGTGGATGCATTCTCTTAAAGGTACAAGGATACATTTTATGTTTGAACTCAGTTGTCAACAATCAGAATTCTTTTCCTAAAAATCAGTTTTATGTTTTATTTTCCTTCTAAAAATCTGGCTTCCCTTTCCTTATAAAGTAGAATATAAACTTATTCATTAAAATAAGATATGGCCTCTAAGGAAATGAGTCAGTATTATTTCTATGGGTTTTTTAATTGCTTTACTCTTCTACTTAGCTCCATTTAAAAATTTACAATCATTCTTCTTTCCAAATCATATCACTTCTGGAAAACAGGAACAAATTCTTACCCTATTTTGTATCCCTGGTACTGTACATGTTGTACAGTAATTATTTATTAAGATTTATTGACTGATTAAATAGCAATGTGTTTTAATCCCTTTTATGTGCCTTTTTGAAGAATGTTTTCTTACATGGTTGGCAGCCTTGTATAATACTTGTGTGTGTGTGTGTGTGTGTGTTTGTGTGTGTGTTTGTTTGTTTGGTACCAGGGATTGAACCCAAGGTGCTTAACCACTGAGCCATATCCCCAGCCCTTTTTATTTTTTATTTTGAGATAGCATCTCACTAAATTGCTGAGGGCCTTGCTAATGTAAAATACTTTTTATTTATTTATTTGTTTATTTTTGAGATGAGATCCTGCTAAGTTGCTGTGGCTCTAATTGCTGACAAATACCACTACTCCTGGCTTCATAATTTATTTATTCATTTTATTTATACCTTTATTTTATTTATTTTTATGTGGTGCTGAGGATCCAACCCCGTGCCTCACACGTGCCAGTCAAGCAGTTTGCCACTGAGCTACAGCCCCAGCCCCATAATTTATTTTTATGAATGTGTATCTCATATTAATGACGTTAAATATCAAAATGTTTAATAGATAAAAAACTTGAAATAAACTCTCTACTTTAGGAGCTGAGCATGCCATTCTCAGGAGGACAAGATAGCTTTTCTAAATTTACTATGGAGATGGTTCGACAGTATATGAAGGAAGAGGAAATGAGGGCAGCTCACCAATCTTCACTTCTGCGGCTTCGTGAAAAGGCTTTGAAGGAGAAAACCAAAGCTGAATTAGCTTGGCTAGAACATCAAAAAAAGTAAGTTCTTTCAGTAGCATAGTTTTCATTGTTCAGTTACTTCCATAAAAAGTAAATGCTTTATGTTTTAAAATATTTTTGTTTCCTCATTTAATTTTTTTTTGTGTGTGTGTATGCATCTGGTTATTAAACCCAGGACCTTGTACATGCTAATAAGTACATGCTCTACCACTGAGCTATATCCCTAACCTCTCCTCATTTAATTTGATATGATTAAATTAACCTAGTTTTTACAATCCAGGAATATGTGGCAATAATCTTTGATTTGTGTTACTTTCAAGACTTCCTTCCTACCCATATAATATTTTGTTTTCATTTATCTTTTACAGTCTAACTGATCCTCATGTTGTTGTCCTATACTTAAGTCCTCTATAGTGTTGCAAATTGTTCAGAGTCCTCATATCTTTAAAAGACTTAGTCTACGGCTTACATGTATTACGTAATCAGTAGAATACTTGCTGAGATATTAACTGCTGCTGCATATAACAACTGTTTTCAACTTTTGAAAATGCTAAGTTTGTGAACTTGTTAGTAACCAAGAATTCTTGAAATTAAAACATGAATTTAATCTAGTCTTTGTCTCAATGAAAAATATTATTTGCAGACATCTACGAGACAAGGGAGAGGATGATAAAATGCCCCCACTCCGGAAAAAACAGCGTGGTTTGCTTTTAAGATTGCAGCAAGAGAAGGTATGTTAGGAAAAATGTCTCTTTAAAAAAATTTATCATAGGCAGATTATGTTTGCCTAATCTCTTTTTCTTATTATCACCTTAAATGGGATTTAGTTGACTCTTGCCCTGGTTATAGAGGTTGCTTGGTAGTTTACCATATTTCTCTTACATTAAAATTGAACACAATCAAATCTGCTGCCTTTCTATAGTATGAATAGAATAATCTTTTGAAATGATTTGAATTTTAAAAATTAAGATATGTATAAGAGTATATTGAGAATAATTTTTGAGTCATCACTTCCCTTCAGAGAGTTTCACGACACATTAATTACATATTGACAAATTTTGACTTAGTGGGATTAGAAAGGCCTTGGTTTTGAATCCTGGAGAGACAGTAAGGTAGTTTGATGATTAAGAATTCAGGGGCTGGGGATTTGGCTCAGGCATTATCGCGCTTGCCTGGAATGTGCGAGGCACTGGATTCGATCCTCAACACCACATTAAAAATAAAGATATTGTGTCCACCTAAAACTAAAAAATAAATATTAAAAAAAAAAAATTCAGGCTCTGGAGCTGGGATGTGGCTCGGTGGTAAAATGCCTGTGGGTTCAATTCCCAGTACCTGCCCCCCCCCCAAAAAAAAAGAATTCATGCTCTGAAGTCAGATTACCTAGGCAAGCATTTCAGCTCTACTAATTGTAGGTTTTATAACCTTGAACAAATTACTTAATTTCTGTGTTTCAGTTTCTTCATCTGTAAATTGAGAGCAATAATAGTAGTATTCTTTATAGGGACATTAGGGAAGGATAGATAATTAATGCATAAAATAGATTTAGAGTAGACCTTGACACAATGGTAAATACTCAATGTTAGTTGCAACTATATAATCATGGTCAAGTTTAAGTAGCTCTCTGAGACTTAATTTCCTCATCTGTAGGAGTGGGGATTATACTTTCATATGGTGGTTGTGAGGATTAAATGAGGTAACATATGTAAAGTGTGTTTCACAGTACCTGGTAAGTATTTAATAGATTCTAGTTTTCTTTTCCCTTATTGACCTGTTGTCAGGTGAGATCTACTGTGTTAGATGATTTACAAACTTGTTTATTTGAGTTATATATTAGATTATTACTTAAAATAATTTTTAAAAGTAAAATTAACCACAGGAAACATAACTGATGATGTGAATTTGAAAAAATTCCAAACTTAATTTAAAAAAAAAAAAAGAAGTTATGACTTTTTAGTCTAAAACAAAGGTTTGTTTGTTTTAAGGTATGATTTAAAAATATATATATTTATTAGGTGTAGATGGACATAACACAATGCCTTTATTTTTATGTGGTGCTGAGGATCGAACCCGGGTCCTGCCCATGCTAGGTGAGTGCTCTACCGCTGAGCCACAATCCCAGCCCCTAAAACAAAGGTTTTTTTTTTTTTTTTTTAACTATTTATTATTTATTTTTTGGCGGACACAACATTTTTGTTTATTATGTGGTGCTGAGGATCGAACCCGGGCCGCACGCATGCAAGGCGAACGCGCTACCGCTTGAGCCACATCCCCAGCCCCCAAAAAACAAAGGTTTTAAAGTAAATAAGATTTGTCTTAGTTAAAATTGGTGACTTACTTTCTACACTGTTGCAATACAATAGCTTTCTGTTTGTAAAGTAGAAGAAAAATACATTTATAAATATGTTCTCTCATTCTGTAGTATTTCTTTTCACTTTAATAGCATCCTTTGAAGCACAAACAAATTAATTTCAATATAATATTTCATTGCATGCTTATTGATGGCACATTTTTTTCAGGTTTTGTTAGTTTGAAAGTGTATTAGTTTTATCATTTTTTAAAGGATATTTTGTAAAATTATTTCAGCACTTTAAAAGATCACTTTCCAGTGTTTATCACTTTTCATTGTTTTTGTGGAGAAGTCAGTTGTCTAAGTGTTGCTTTTTGTAGACTTCTTTTAAGATTTTTAAAAAATTGACTTTGGTTTTTTAATACTTTTACTGTAAGGTGTCTAGGTATGGTTTCCTTTGTAATAATCCTATATAGGTTTGCTGAACTTCTCAATCTGTTGGTTGGTGTATTTTATTAGTTTTTAAAAAACTACTTCTTTGTATTTTGCTTCTGCCCCCTTCTTTCTATCATTTCCTTCTGGGAGTCCATTTAGACATATGTTAGACCTTTTTGCTATGTACCACATCTCTCTTCTGTTCTCTCTTGTTTTGATTTCATTTTCTTAAAACAAAAAACACTGTGCCTCAATTTGGAAAAAAATTTTTAAAAAAGTTTTTTTTAGTTGTAGATGGACAGATTGCCTTTATTTATTTTTATGTAGTGCTGAGGATTGAACCCAGTGCCTCACATGTGCCAGGAAAGTGCGCTACCACTGAGCCACAACCTTAGCCTTTGGAAAAATTTTTATTGACCTATTGGATTCTCAGTGTGTCTTCTGCTTCAGCTATTAAACTATATTGTTAAATCTACTAAATAGTTAATTTTATTATTTTAGTCCTATAATTCCCATTTTTTTTTTAAATTCTTTGTTGTAATCTACCTTTCCATCCTTTTTTTTGAATTTTTTCCTATATGTATTTTATTTTCCTTGTCGGCTGTTTTATTTTTCTCTCATTGGCTCCTTTTTCTTTGCATGCCTAGTAATTTTTTGTTGAGTGATGGATGCTATGGATAAATAATTACAAAGACTTCAGCTGATGTTCTCTCATCCTAGAGAAGATTCCTCCTTTCTTTTGCTCTACAGTTAGTTATCAGCTATTTACCTTAACCCAAGCTAAGGACTGCACTGGGTTAAGGTAGGGTTGCAGAGTTGTTAAGCTCCAGTCTACCTCTGCTTTGCCCTGTTGTCCCTGGATTGTGGCCCTCCAGGGATTTCACTCAAAAACTAGGCAAATCTGTTTTTCTCAGCACAAGACACTGTAAGGATTTCTTCTCAGAGGTTTTTGGCTTGGTTCCTCAACTTTCTGTCTGTGCTGCTTCAGAATTTGACAGATGTTCAGAAGAATGTGAGTCTGAGGCCTCTTAAGTCTCCATTTTTGTTACTTCAACTCTGTAGTTGGTAGAATTATTAATTAGTAAAATCTTTTTTTTTTTTTTTTTAAAGGTATCAGTGTTTGAATTCCGGGCTCTTGGCCACTGAGCCACTTCCCCAGCCCTATTTTGAGATAGGGTCTCACTGAGCTGCTTAGCGCCTCACTGTTACTGAGGCTGGCTTTGAACTCGAAATCCTCCTGTCTCAGCTTCCCAAACTGCTGGGATTACAGGCGTGCACCACCACACCCCCCAGCTAGTGTAGCTATTATAAAGGTTACTTAAGGTTTACTTAAGGACATGTAGAATATATGATTCAGCAGTTCTGCCTTGGTATATATCCTTAAAATATTCTTTAATCCAAGAAGCTTTTCAAATGTACAGGGGAAAACAAACATCATCAGTAAGAGAATACATGAATCAAAGCACATATCTACAAAAAATGTTTAATATTGTAAGAAAATGAATGCATTAGGTATCAGCACTATCCAATAGAGACTTCTATATCTGTACATGCAATATAATAGCTAGTAACCACATGTAGCTAACTAACAGCTATCATTGGACACTCTAGTATTAGATCCTCATTACCAGAATTATAATGTTGTTTTTATAGAAGGGCAGTATGCAGATAATATGTTCAGTATTATACTATTCATGGAAATATATATATATATATATATAAAGTAATATATATATAATATATATATATTAGTAAAATATATATATATATATATATATATATATATATATATATATAAAGTCTGTGGAATGACTCATACATCAAAAGTATAAATAGACATGTAGCAGTGATATACTTATGCAGAAAATCCTAAGAAAGAAGAGATTGCAGTGGAATTTGGTTTTATGTGTAGTGATTTAGTTTTGAAACAGATTCAAAACAAACATTAATGTTTGAATGACTGATTTTCAGGTTTATAATACTTTTTAATAGCTTAAAGAGTAAATTTACCAAAAAATATTCTTTAATCCAAGAGGTTGCTGCTGGAAAGTTGCTGTATAGAATATAAAGTATGAGAGTGTAGGAATATATGTATTAAGATGTTTGTTTCTGTTGTAGCAGTACTAATTATTTTATCTGGTAGTGAGATAGCTATAAGCAGTTTGTCACAACTCTCTGAAAAATAGAACAAATTATTCTTTTTTCCTCCATTGAGGTGACATTCACATAATATAAAATAGCCATTTTAATTATGCAAATAATTTCACTTATACAAGTCACCATTTCAAAGTAAACAATTCACTTGTACAACCTTATGACCTGTTTTCAGGAGATATGTTAGCTTTCTGTTACCATAACAAATACCTAAGGTAAATCACCTTAATAAGAAAAAAGGTTTTTTTTGGTTCATAATTTCAGAGGTTTCAGTTTGGCCCTGTTGCCTTTGGGTCTTTGATAATGGAGTTCATCATAAGAAAAGGAAACTACTTACTTCACAGTGACCAAGAAACAGAAAGAGAGAGATGAAGGAACTGGAGTTCAAATATCCCCCTCAAAGACATGCTCCTAGTGACCTAACTTCCTCCTCCTAGGCCCCACCTCTTAAATGTTCCACTACTTCTCAGTAGTGCCACAAGCTGGTGGCCAAAACTTTAACATGTAGACCTTTGAAAGACACTTATCCCAACTATAACAGAAGGGGAACAAACATTTTCCTCCTAGAATACCCTATAAAAATATAGTTTTTTTTCTAGGCTCAAATTGGGTGAATTTATGTATTGGTTGGCTCAGAATCTCAGAACTGTTTTCATAATGGTACTACTAGGGGACTGTGAATATGCAGTTCAGTGATACAGTACTTACCTACCATATGCAAATCCCTGAGTTCAATCCCTAGTAATGGGCTGGGGGGTACGGGGAGGAGAACTAGAATATGAACTTGTCCATTTCACTGTGTCAACATTTTGAACAAATGATGCAAAAACAAGTGTGAGTAGAACTGCTGGTGCCTTAGCATAACTCAGGGCACCAGATTGTTCAGTGATTGTTATGTTCTTCACTGCCACACACTTGCAGTTTGAAAACTAAGTTTTGCAGACCAGGCCAGTGGCCCAAGCTTGTAATCCCAGCAAATCAGGAGGCTGAGGTGGGAGAATCACAGGTTCAAGGGCAGCTGGGCAATTTGGCGAGACCCTATTTTCAAAATTTAAAATAAAATAAAAAGGGCTAAGAGATACCTCAGTATAGAGCACAAGTTATGCTTAATAATGTCCTGATTTAGGTAGTAAAATATATTTTTTCTATTATCTTTAAAAAAATTTTTTTTTGTAGTTGTAGATGGAAAGAATGTCTTTTATTTGTTTATTTTTATGTGGTGCTGAGGATCAAACCCAGTGCTTCACGCATGCTAGGCAGGCGCTCTGCCACCTAGCCCCAGCCCCAGCCCTGGCCCTTATCTTGATGTTTGAGGACAAGCCTATTTCATATTCTATGTTCTTTGTGACAGAAATGGCAAAACCATGATTTAGATTTAGTCACATATGCTAGATACTAGAGTACAGTAATTAACTCAAGGAAAAGTATTTATGCACTTGTTTGAATTTCAAGTTTAGCTATTTTTTTCCCCCTGAAATGCCATTTTTACTCATGATTCACCAGCAAATTGCTCATTCAGATTTGGTTATTTGACAGTATTTTCTTAAAAATGAACCAAGTGTGCTTGATTACTTCAAAGAAAACAACTTGGAATATTTGTTACCAATGATAATATGCAAGCTTTCAAACAAAAGTCAAAACCATGAAACATTTTTATATGTTACCCAATATTAAATTGTTTTTCTTTTGCGTTTAATGGTGATATTAATTAATCTGATTTTTAAGGAAATATGCCAACCTTTAGAAAATCTGCATAATGCAATGAATAGATTTTCCAATTGACCAACGCTTGATGTTAAAAAATCAAGCCAGACAATAAACAGATTTGCAAAAACCTGAATGTCATTTTTTCACTAATTTTTTTTGTTGTTGTTGTTGTAGAAAATGTAGTTACTGTCTTTAAAATCATACAAAGTTGTTATGTACTCATTGGAATGGAAAAGAGAAAATATCTTAGTATTATAAAATTAGTTTTACCCTGAAGGGGTCTCAGGGAGCATCTGCTCCAGAGAAGTTCATAAATTTCCCCCCAAGGAAACAAAAAAATGTAAGACTGTTCATTGCATCATTATTTGTAATAGTAAAATAATAAAAACAACTTTAAAATCCAACCATATAGGTAATAGAAAATGAAATGTAAATTCCTCCAGCATGATTTCATACAGTATTATTAGAAGGTGTGAATTAGCATGGAGGGATAGCAAAAGTAATATCTGGCTTTGGGCTGTGACTCAGTGGTAGAGTGCTTGCTTGCCTAGAATGTGTGAGACCTGAATTTGATCTCTAGCACCAGGAAAACAAAAAACCAAGCAAACAAAAAATGCTATCTAGTAAATACATACACAAGAGATTATTTGTAAAATATTTTAAAACCTATAAACAAATGGAATATGTTTCTTAGTAAATAAACATAAATATTTTTAGAAGAATTTAAAAAATAATGTGCTTGAAGGATACATACCAAACTTATGTGGATAATGGTTACCTCCAAAAGAGTTGTAGCATGATATTATAGTTTTCTCTGCAATGTTTTATTTGTTTACAAATTTTATAAGTTACTAATATATTTCTGTACAAATTTTAAAAGTAGGAGAAAATATGAATATTAACAATTATTAATTTGGAGTTTTGTAAATGTGAATATTATGTACTTTGCTGTGTTTTCAGATGGTTTAAAAAAAACTTTCAAACATGATTAAACTAACAAGTAACAAAATTTAGTGTCTTGTTATGTCTACCTCATTGATAAGAAGACAGATTTAAATAAATTTTGAAAAACAAGGGACAGGTAAATTTGAACAGGTATAAGCAGTGAAGTATGGCAATTTTTGCCTGTTTTATTAACAGCCAAAGTTAGGTGGAGAGAGATTTGTGTAATGTAGTCTTAAATGTTTCTGATGACATTGTAAGTGGGAACAATCCTTTTTTTTTAATATATATTTTTAGTTGTCAATGCACCTTTGTTTTATTTATATGTGGTGTTAAGAATAAAACCTAGTGCCTCACACATGCTAGGCAAGCACTGTTCCACTGAGCCATAACCCCAGCCTATAATTTTTTTTTGAAAGCAATTTTTAAAACTGGTTTAAGGTCCATAAAATGATTCATCATCTTTGATTTGTTTATCCTATTTCTATGACTCTCTTCTAAACAAATATTTCATAGTATGAAACAGTTGTATTATTAAAGCATTATTTTGAATAGTGAAAAATTGTAAGGGTCTAAGCGTGTAGCATTAGAATAATGGTTGCATTACGGGGCTGGAGTTGTGGATAATAATGGTTACATTACAGGGCTGGAGTTGTGGCTTAGAGGTAGAGTGCTCGCCTTGCACGTGCAAGGCCCTGGGTTTGGTCCTCAGTATCACATAAAAATAAATAAAATAACGTTATTGTGTACAAACAACTACAAAAAAAATATTAAAAGGAATAATGTTTACATAGTTTAGTCGATATGCGTTTGTTACACAGGTAGATGTAAAGGCCATGTACTTTTGTGGAGAAGTGTGAAAGGTATGTTAAGTTTAAGAAGGACTATGAAATTATCATTGTGTTTTAATTAATAATCATTTAAATTAAGGAATCACGTTAAATTATTTAGCAATGAGGTTCTGTGCGACTCTTCCTCACTACTCTGAAGTTTTTCAGTGTTATTATGTTTACCTAGAAATTCTATATATGTTTATTTGTAATACATATGATTGGATTTGTCTTTTTAAAATATTACTTTGATTTGTCTCCTTCAAATCTCAATTCCTCTCCTAACTCTTTAAACTTTTAGGCAGAAATTAAACGTCTTCAAGAAGCCAACAAGGCAGCTCGAAAGGAAAGGCAGCTGATCCTTAAGCAGCAGGAGGAGATAGAAAGGATCCGACAGACCACCATAAAATTGCAGGAGAAGTTGAAGTCTGCAGGGGAGAGTAAATTGGTAAGTTACTTGAAATTATTATCAGTTAGTTTGTGACCTTTCCCATGTTGCTTGCCAGTGGCTTACTCCACCTCATGTTCAAATAGTGTAATATAATAACAAACTAGGATAAAGTTCTATCTATGTGTCTTTATGTTAATGAGAATCTCCTCCCACCCCATGAAATATTCATGTTTTGAAAGGGCCACATGATTCTGATATTAGATTAAAATGTTTTCTGTGGAGAACAGTGACTGAGATTGGGGGTCTTTGATGACCTTGTGGCTGTGGCATGTCTGATGCCTGGAAATGTTTCTGTGCAAGGACATAGGATGCCTAGCTGCCATTTTAATGCCCTGTATGAGGAGGCTCTGTGGAAGAGAAGAGTCTTATCAGCTTTGATCTTGATCACAGGCACACAGCTTCCAGGGATAAAGGAATTCTCATGCTAGACAACCACAGTGTTTCACCAGCTCTGCTACTCCTGAGCCTGCCCACTTAACAGTAACTTTAAACAATGGGATCTTCTTGAGCATTACACAAAGCTCCTAACACTGCACACAGCAACTGTGGATTACAACTGAGGAAAAGCTGCATAGATGTTTATAGTTTTGTAACTTTCTGAGTACAAAAAAATAATGCTTACCTAGTCTTTAAACCTGATAATGAGATGTATATAAATAAAGCTGGTGTTAACTCTTTAGATCTGCTTCTCCATCAGAGAGCAGCACTCTGCCTGATCCCAGCTATTTTATCTTCACAAACTGTGTTAGTCTTTATTTTCTTACCCCCCATTGCCCCTCACAGAAACTTAGAGTTTGGCTGCACTGGACGTGGCAGTTTTCCATTTATGAACAAATTTGGGACAGAAAGCTCTAGATTTGCTCATCAATCAAAATACATTCCTCAGAATTAATAAGAGACCGTTTTGTTCTTTTTTTGCTATTTATGTTAGCTGTCTGGCTTTAATATTATAATGATGTAAGATTCAAAGGAGATATTTAGATAAGAACAAAATTTGGATCTATTCTAAGGTATTATAAAGTGTCAGTATAGGCTGTGGTTGTGGCTTAGTGGTAGAGCACTTGCCTAGCATTTGTGAAGCACTGGGTTCAATTCTCAGCACCACATATAAATGAATAAAATTTAAAAAAATTAATAAAGAAATCAATAAATAAAGTGTCAGTATACTGTGCTGAAAAACCCTAAATTACATAGAAGTATAATTTTTAAAAATCTAATATCTCCACTTTGACTTCTAAAATACACTTTAAATTTTGAATAGTGCCAAACTTCAGGAAAATTTGAAACAGTATGAAGATTTCTGATTTTCTAAGTCATTTGACAATAAGTTTCTAACAGATTAATATTGATACATTACTACCATTTTATCTATAGCCCTTTTAAATTTCTTCACTTGTCAAATGATATTCTTTATAGAAAAAGTAACTTTAGAATCACATATTGCATTTAGTTTTCATGTCTCTTTAGTCTCCTTCAATCTGGAATTGTTCCTTGAATCTCATGACCTTGATACATTAGAAGACTATATGACAGGGGGCTGGGGCTGCAGCTCAGCGATAGAGCACTTACTGGGCACGTGCGAGGAAACACTGGTTTTGATCCTCAGCACTACATAAATAAATAAACAAAACAAGTATTGTGCCCACCTACAACTAAAAAAAAAAAGATTATATGATGTCAGTTATTTTGTAGAATGTTCCTTAACTGAGCTATGTCTGATGTTACCTCATGACTAGATTCAGGTTGTGCATCTATGGCAGGTATCATAGAAGCAATGTTATTCTTTTTGCCTTATTTAGGTGGCACATAATTTTGATTGATTCCATTATTGATGATGATCACTTGATTAAAGTGATATCTGCCAGACTTAATTACAAAGTTTCTTTCCCTTCAGCATTAATAGGTATTTCACATATTTTTGAAACTATGTAAATGTCTTGTGCATAGTTTAAATTTATTCTCTTACCTTTATCAAAATTAACTCATGAGTTCCTATTTTACTTGGGCTTTCAATCTGTTACTATTATTATTTATGTGTTGCTCACTTTGTCTCAAATTGGGCTATTAAAAGCTTCTCCACACAGATTTCTTTTTCCATTTGCTATGTCTCATCATCCCAGAGTATTTACATGCTTTCTGGAACAAGATGTTTCAGGATCATTTTGAACTTCTGCCCCACCCTTAAAATTAATTGATATTCTGAGGAACATTATTTAGAAACCAAAATCTGGTTTGTTCATTGCTCTTTAGGTTTTACTCTTCCTAAGCAATAAATCTCGGAGAAATATTAGTTTTAACTACATACTGTGTGTGTGTGTGTGTGTGTGTGTGTATGTAATAAACATGTATAAATAAAATCAGGAATTTATACGTATACTTCCAATTTCACACCAGTGCCACAACTTTCATACTATTTTGTTGTTGTTTGTTTTCTATTTTAGAATTCTCTTATCTGACAGATAACTGGTGAATGTCCTTCTCTCTGTGTTTGGGCTTTGACTTCCCTATTCCCTATCTCCTTGTTCCTCCATTCTTTGGACTCTGACACCTATGCCAGGAAGTTCACTGTGGGGAAGCCATCTTTACTGTGTTTGAACTCATGACATCATGTGCTGACCTACTTCCACACAGACATTCTTGTTGCTCTGCTTAGACTCTGATTCCCCATTCAGGCTGCCCTGGTGCATGAGATACTGTCTTCATCTCACTCAGATAATCACACCACTCTTGGCCCCTGTCTCCCTCTACCCTCACATGAACACATACATGCCTTGTTCTGCTCCATCTGATGACTTTAAGACTGTGTAGTTCAGGAAGCAGAATGGAAAGAAGTACTGTCCTTTGTTTGCATTTTTCACAAATAAAAATAGTCATAATTATTCCCGCCCATCTGCCTTAAAAGTTGTGAGTATAAATGACTATTTTGGGAAAGACATACTAAGGAAAGACATACTTTTTATTTATCAGAAGTAATGTATTGATTAAACCAATAGTTTTTAAATGTTTTCATTACAAACATTTTTAATTTGTGAAATACTGTTTTCCATAAGGAATTCTTCCAGGAAAAAAAATCCATCCCTTAGTATGTTTAAAGTAAGTTATTACATCTTTTGTTCGGTCTTTGTGTCTGTACATATGTGTTTTATATATTTATAGTGTCTAGTTTTATGTTCCTTTTATATGGTTTAACTTTAAAAACAAGAGTACAATTAGGAACTAGATTATTACTGGCAGAAATTTTTTATTTCTTTTTGGAGTTCTGTGGATTTTTAAAATTTTTTATTTCTTTTTTAATCATTGCAAGTGATATAGTCAGTCTATAAAAATATACATAACATAAAATTTCCCATTTTAATCATTTTCTTATTTAAAAAAAATTTTTTTAGTTGTAAATGGACACAATACCTTTATTTATTTATTTTTATGTGGTGCTGAGGATTACACCCAGTGCCTCACATGTGCTAGGTAAGCCATTTACCACTGAGCTACAACCCCAGGCTCCATTTTAATTATTTTTAAGTGTGTAGTATATTTTTGTCCCTTAAGTAATTATATCTTTTTTTAAGTAATTATGACTTAATTTTAATTACTATTAGAAACATTGTTTTAAATTTAAACTTAATTTTGAATTGACAGTATTTAAGATCTTTTAAGATCCTTTTGAAGTCCAATAAAAGTTTGCTTCTTTTTGTTTACAGGACTCTCATAGTGATAATGATACAAAAAATAATAAGGCAACTAGTCCTGGACCAACTGATTTGGAGACCCGTAGTCCTTCTCCCATCTCAGTCTCCAGCAGTGAAACTAGCAGTATCATGCAGAAACTGAAGAAAATGAGAAGCCGCATGGATGAGAAGTAATTCATTTTTTAAATATATCCTGTTTAGTTACACTGCAAGTAGTAAGAACAAATGATATTTTTTAATATGCTGCATAGATCAAGATAAAATGTTTGATGGATTCAGTAACATTTTAGCAGAAATTTTGGATCAACCTAGAAGTTAATTAACTGTAGATCTTATTTATGAAACAGTTTTTCTGATTTTGATGTAAATAGTTTCCTTATTAAAAAGCCAAAGTAGTATTTGAATATGTACCCTTTCTTTGCATATGTCTACCAACTTGGGGAGCAACTAATGGTATATTGAATTGACATCCTTTTGATCTTTGGTAATTCTCAAGCTTAATTTAATGGTAGAACAAAATTTTTACCTTGTCAGTTTCTGAGATTTTTCTGGGGTGTGGAATGATTCTGCACTCTAATATTCTTCCAAAACATTTCTAAGAATTATTTTTTAAAAAATCTCCTACTGGAATGTAGCTCAGTTGCATATAAGATTTGATTATATAAAATTACATTTATGTGATAGTTCACTCTTTTGGTATTCATTAAATTAAATATGGTTATAAATTAGATTCTTGTGGGCTGTATACTTGCCTCTATAATCATTATCCCATAGTTAGCTTCCTTGAAACCCACTGAATACAGAAAAGAGAATCATTAGAAATTTTTACTGACTGCCATTTTAAGTTAGCAATTCGAACCACAGACTGAACTTAAATTGTTATCTTGAGATCCTTTGGCCAGATTTAATAATGTTTTATATTTATATGTGACACCTACCTTTGATTTAATTAGTTTTAGGATAGTCAAGTAATTATTGAGTAAAATTCCTTATTTCCTCTAAGTGCAATTATATGTTGGTATTTCTTTTCTTTTTTTTTTTTTAGTTGTAGGTGGAACACATAATCTTTATTTCATTTTTATGTGGTGCTGAGGATCGAACCCAGTGCCTCATGTGTGCTAGATGCCTCTAATCCCAGTGACTGAGCAGGAGGATCCCATGTTTATCCCTCCAGGGATAAAGGAATTCTCATGCTAGACAACCACAGTGTTTCACCAGCTAAAAAGTAAAAGGACTAGAGATGTAGCTCAGTGCTAAAGCACCTCTGGGTTCAATTCCTAGTTAAAAAAAATAGTGTAAAAACTAAATATTATTATACATGTGAATACTTGTTTTTAGATGATTTCTGTGGGATAAGTCAAGTAAAGTTTCTTTAAATAAGAATTTATTGAAATTTGGGTGAAAAATTCATTCTTCCTTTTTTGATTAAAATTTTCCGCTAGTCTATAGAGACATTGCTTCATAGATCTTTGAATTCAAAATTAGAATAATTTTTATCACTGATTTGACATTTTATATCTGCCTCCAAGTCTCTTTGAATGGTAAATGTTGCGGGGAAGGTAGGGATAATTTTTTTTCCCACTGATCCCTTGCTTTTATATTTCAGTAAAACCTTCATTGCTAGTCTCTATGAATGGTATTCTAAAATTTTAACCACACCTATAGAGGAAATTGCTAATCTTAGTCTGTGAGGTCAGTTTCTGTGGTGCTTATTTTAGATTTGGTTAAATCTGTAAAAACCCTAAATAACAAATTTAAGATTAGATTTATTGACTGCTCCAAGTGTTGTCACAGAATCCAAATATTAATCACTATAATTTTTGTATTTCTTGTCTTATCAACTACTAGAGTAGACTTTGTCAAGGAGAATAATCCTTGAAACATTCCGTGACTTTTTATTTTGGGTACCAGGGATTGAACTCAGAGGCACTCGACCACTTAGCCACATTCATAGCCCTATTTTGTATTTTATTAGAGACAGGGTCTTCTGTGTTGCTTAGCACCTTGCTTTTGCTGAGGCTGGCTTTGAATTTTTGATCCTCCTGCCTCCACCTCCTGGGATTTCAGGCATACACCACCACACGTAGCCATGATTTCTTAATCTGATGTCTGAAGCAATGCAGTTGAGTTTGTGGTAGGGATGAACAAGAGTATTTTATGAAATTGGTTATGTGTTTTAAAACATAGTGCATTACAGTATTGTTTTCTATCCCTGAAACAAAGTAGTGGGAAGACTAGCATTTAAATGCCATTTATATTATGAAAATTTTAGAGTTAAGATTTCCTTCAGCTCCAACTGATGTTGGAATGTCAGCTCAAGAAGTGAAGAGTTACTTGATTTTGGAGTTAGCTTACTATAGTAGATGACTAATAATAAAATTATTTGAACCTTTGCTTCTTTGTAACTAGGTACTATTATTTGTTCCATAGATTTGCAAAGGCAGTCAGACCTGTTTTATTGATATGAATGTCAAAAAGTAGTCATCCTTCCCAAGAAGTTTAACATTTTGGGAGAACTTTTTTATTATATGTCATTGCTTATTGTTAGCTTTCTGAACTCTAATTTTATAACAGATATATTTTTTAAACAATATTATCACTTTTGGCCTTGGTAAAAGATTTGTTCTTTAATGTTTCACTGAGACAATAATGCCTGCATTAAACTTTATATTTCTAACATATGACTTTTCTTGACGTAGTTATTGAATTGACGTTTATAAGTAATTTCCATTTTTCAGTATAGTGAAAAGCAAAAAGAAATTCAAAATGTGAAAGACATTAGTAATAATGAAAACAGGTTTGTAAAAGACACACAGTAAATCTAAGCCACTGAATGAACAACCTTCCCTTTTGTCTTACTTGTAAGTGAATTTGAGTTTTGTTAATTACTGTGACAGACGTTATTTATAATAACACTGGGTTACCTATAATTATGAAACAGTTGTTGTTGAAAAACAAAGTAACATATGGGTGACTTCTCCTGTTATTTTGCCAGTTCCTTTTCAGGAAAACAGTTTACTGAGCATATGAAGCTCTGAAGTGCTGCATTAGTTAAAATAAGACACCACACATTTTTTTCTTTCATTTGTTAACAGTAGCTTGTTCTTCTGTGTAACAAGTTAATTATGTGGTTGCTCCCTCAGCAATTATTTATTGAGTAATTTGTGAATATGCTAAGTTCTGAGGGTTACCAAGATACAAACCCTGCCTTCAAAAAGCTTATAGTCTTACTTGGAAAATAGAATGCATGGAAGGATCATTTAGAAAAGTATATGGAGATCTATTGCTAAGGAAATTAAGAAAGGAAAGAGAAATTTTCACTGACAGAAGAAGCATATTAAGGAAATTTTCATGAATATGTTCAGACTTGAATATGTTTTTAATGCTTATATAAAAAGTATAAGCATTTTTTGGTTTTACCTTTCATTGCAGACCAAGGTAGCATGAAAAAATTAGCTGGTAGTGTCAAAACATCTTAAACATTTCTTCTATACTTCCCAATTTGCTTAGAAAAATGATGAAATGCATCAGACATAGTGGCGCATGTCTATAACCCTAGCAGCTCAGGAGGCTGAGGCAGGAAGATCACGAGTTTAGAGCCAACCTCAGCAATTAATGAGGCCCTAAGCAACTTGGCAAGACTCTGTCTCAAAAATAAAAAGTAAAAAGGGCTGGGGATGTGGCTCAAGTGTTTAGGTGCTCCTGGGTTCAATCCTTGGTACCAAGAAAAGGAAAAGAAAAAACACTAAATGGGCAAATTATTTAATTTAAATAATTAACCAGAAAGTTAAGAAGAGAAATATTTTATGATATTATTCTGTCTTAAAGTATTTATAAACTGAGTACACTATATGACTACAATCCCAGCTAGTTGGGCAGCAGAGATAGGAGGATTACAAGTTTAAGGCCAGCCTTAGCAACCTAGTGAGACCGTGTCTCAAAAAAATAAATAAATAAAAGTATTTATGGTTTGTCTATTCAGTTTTGAAATCTTTACCATTAATCTGCTGAACTTTAAAAATTAAGGATTTTCAAAGTAGAGTCTTGGATAGTCTATTAAAGAAAATACCTTGTTAAGAATTATCTTAGGGGCTGGAGTTGTGGCTCAGCGGTAGAGCACTTGTCTCTCACGAACGGGACCCTGGGTTTGATCCTCGGCACCACATAAAAAATAAATGAGTGAAATAAAGGTATTGTGTCCAACTACAACTATAAAATAAATAGTAAAAAAAAAAAAAAGAATTATCTTAAATAATTTATTAAACAACATTGTTTTTAATATAATTGTCTTAGAGAAGTTTCTATTATAAGTGTAGTAGCTAAATAAATTCTGGTAGTATAATGTTGTGTTTTAATTTCTGCAGTTCCTTGGTCAAGAATAGTGTACTGTATTATTTTGTTTATTTAACTGTATGCAAATTATTATACAATTTTAAGTAATAAATAGGTTTTACTATAGAAAAAGCTAAACTGCACTATTTTTTTATATTCTTTTTAGTTGTAGGTGGACACAATACCTTTATTTTATTTTTATGTGGTGCTGAGGATCGAACCCAGTGCCCTCCACATGTGAGGCAAGCACTCCACCACAGAGACACAAACCTAGCCCTGCATTTTCTTTTACATCAGTACTATCCTTGCCCTAATTTATCTTCTCATTCAAGTATTACGAAAGATGCTTAAAAGCCAGATGCAGTGGCACACGCCTGTAATCCCAACACCTCGGGAGGCTGAGTAAGGGGAATCGCAAGTTCAAAGCCAGCCTCAGCAAAAGCAAGGCACTAAGCAACTCGATGAGACCCTGTCTCTAAATAAAAAATACAAAATAGGGCTGGGAATGTAGCTCAGTGGTCAAGTGCCCTGAGTTCAATCCCTGGTACCAAAAAATATATATATATATACACACATACACACACATATGTATATTATATATATATATATATATATATATATATATATGCTTAAAAATTCAGAAAAATTTATTTTAAGATTTAAAGCACTATGTTCTATTTTTATTTATAATAATATAGAATTAAAGAATTACAGATACAGAAGGAATTTTAAAACAATTTAAGGTATTAAATTTTCATTTGTTTTATTTACTGTCTTTCAAATTTGAAGGATTTTAGACCTGCAATTATCATTTAAAATTTATATAATCTTTTTTTCTTTCAAATTATAGCTGGAACACTGTTCATAGTTGTATTAGCTCAGTGGGAGAAAATTTGTCATGTCATATGATGTTGTAGCATGTTATTTTTAAAAAGTGGGAGGTTTTTGAATGTACAAAGAATCATAAAATGGTAGAACTAGAAGAGGTCTCAGGGAACTTGTCTTTATTTGACTCGGTGAATTTAAGGCCCACAAAGATTAAGTGACTTGCCTGAGTTCACACACAGCAGAATGGCAGAGTTAGAACTAGAACCCTGCTCTCTGGACTTCAGCTAGTTAAAGTTTAACATATCTGCTTTTAGACTTACAATTTTTTAAAAAAATTACTGATAACTACATATCTTCAGTAGAAACTTGCCGTTCTGAATAATATTTGTTGAAACTGGAAAAGTGCTAGATGGCTTATTACTATAGTCGAATAGCAGCATGAACAAGTCATATGCTGGTGTGACTTAGTCGATCAAGTTCTTTAGTAATTAATTCTTTAAATTCAAACATTATAAGAACATAATTATTTCCATACTAGATTACATTTATTGTATATCTAATTTTAATCCAGTGTTCTGTTACCATCAGAGGTCTTCTTGGGGGTTACCTTGATAGCAACCATAAAGAATATTAGTATCATTTTATATTAGCAGACATTTATATATCCATAATTCATAAATTTTGTTTATTTCTTACCTGTTCTTTGTATTGAGTGATTGTTAACTTTAGGGTAAAGTACTGCTTTTTTGTCTCACCTTTATTCAGCTTTTAAAGTTTTAGTTTTGAGAATGTTTTTATTGTAAACAAAGAAATGTTTGGGGGAAGAAATTCTAACTTTATAATTAGGTTAAAACTTTTCTTACACTGTTTCCTAAACTGTTTTATTTTCATTTTCTATTAGTCATTTCTTTTGTTCCTCATTTCTAAACAAGAGCTTTTGAATGTGTTTAATCTTTATAATTGAAAAGTAAATGTTAGTTCTTATTTTAGTAGGAAGAATAATTGGGGGTGAAAAAATTTTAACTTGTATATTTTTACACTTTATTTCACGTGTAAAATATTATTTTACTTTTTGTACTAGGTCATGCATGCATTTAGCAGTTACACACTTAAGAGGGTGGGTGTCACATTTGAATGTTACGAGTAAATTTTTTGGAACATTTTGCTAAGAACATTTGGTTTTGCATAATATTTTGATAATGAACATCAAAATAAGTTTATTGTACATCAATAAAGAATGGCAAGGAAAATTGCATTGTCTTACTGAAATTTGCAGCAATGTTTTTCATTGAACTTCAGTGCAGAAAATCAAGGCAATCCAGTTGGGCATGCATGCACGTGTGCCTGCGTGTGTAAATAAATGAAGGGGAAAGTAAAATACTATATGTGGGGAAATAGACATTAAAATAGTCTGTTATCTAAAGATATACATAGGCAAGATTATATATATATTTCTTAAAATCTAAACGTGACTGGATTTATACCTAGATTTTCTCACTTCCGTGACATACTGATATTACTCCTTGCCCTTCCAAGGCAATAAATGTTGCCTTGATCTACAATTTATTGTTGTGTGCATGTGAACAGGAGCATGCTCTGTCAAAGAGAATTAACCTTTCAAACTTTAAGATTTATTTATCCTTTTGTGTATGTGTATAGTGATCTACTTATTATGACAAAAGGTTTTATTTTTTCTACTTTTGTAACTTTAGGGTATAGAATTTTCTTCTTACCTTTAACTTTATGATTGAGCTGTCCATACCATTTTTATTTTAATTTTTGGGGGAGAGTACTGGGGATTGAATTCAGGGGAATTGGCCTCTGAGCCACATTCTCAGCCCTATTTTTTAAATATTTTTTTAGTTGTAGTTGGATACAATACCTTTATTTTATTTATTAACTTTTATGTGGTGCTAAGAATCGAACGCAGCGCCTCACACGTGCTAGGCGAGCTTGGCTACTGCTGAGCCACAATCCCAACCCCGCCCAGCCCAATTTTGTATTTTATTTAGAGACAGGGTCTCACTGAGTTGCTTAGTGCCTCACTTTTGCTGAGACTGGCTTTGAACTCACGATCCTCTTGTCTCAGCCTCCCGAGCCACTGGGATTACAGGCATGTGCCACCATACCCAGCTCATAGCATTTTTTTAACTGATAGTATTTATTGAGACTAGATCAGTTTTTCTTAATTTTACATCCTGATATTTTATAGAATGGGCATTGTATTTTAACATTATTATTTAAATGGGCCTTTATTATATTTAAAGCAAGGAGATCTTGTTAGCAGTTTTATGTTTAGAGGTTAACAAGGTTTTTTTCTACAAATAGGTTTAAACGTTTTTAGGCTGGATCGTGATGGTACAGTTAAGTAAGGCAAATGGACTTTTGATTTAATTTCAAGCTTAAAATATATGACAAGGTACAGATATAAAATCAGTTGTTTAGGGTTACCTATTTTAGTAGAATTGCTGATATACTAGATTCATGGTTCAAACTTTATTTGAAAATTTATTAGCCCCACACTGTACTTCTCATCACTCACAAACAAGTAAATTAAACTGAAAAGACACATGATGGTTAAGTCATATTTGAGAAGAAAGGCATGTTTATTTAGAAACCATTGGTAAGATCTGTGAAAGTACATGTTTTTTATGTCACACAGAGTATAACACGTGCTTTACCAAGTAGCTTATAATGTGATTTAGGAAGCATATTGAAAATTCTTCACTTGGCTCTTATGCTTTCCCTTTCTCATTCTTCCTACCTCTTGATCTCTTGGTTTTAAAAATCTTCCTCCTTATTTTGTAGACACTGCTCTCCTGTTCACTACTTCTTCTCTGTCTTTACGTCTCATCACTGGGCCTCTCTCAGTGTTTGTTTTCCCAACCTTCATCCCAAATTCCAGCTGTATATCTACAACCAGTTGGTCAGGTAACTGCACCTTTTTTAGTGCACTCTTTGATGGAGCATGCTCTGTTCTTTTTGTTTTGTTTGCTTTTTCTGTTTTATTTCTTTTTAACAGCCTGGAGACCTCTTGTCAAATGTCATATAGATTTTACCTTGTGTTTCCACATTAATTTGACATGATGATTGTTCCAGAAGTGACAGTTCTTGTGCTTTTGACTAAATGTTGGATGTGTAAATGCATTTTTGTTGGCTAGCTACTGCTGTATATATGACACCAATAATATGGACAGCATACCTTTCATTTAGCCATGGCATCTGCATTTGAAGAGATTTTATTAATAGCTTTAAACTAATCAAATATTTTTCCCTAAATTAGTAATCTCTCCTAACCCTTCTGACCTATAGAAGATCAGAGATTATATTAAATTGAAAATTTGAGACATTTGATGCATCCTTTTACTCAGTTAATGATTATATGCATAAGATCTGACTGATGCTCAGTGTTTTCTACATAAAAAATGATTTATCACCTGACCTTGTATCTCTTAGATAATGGGAGCCTAACTCACTAGACCTGAAGCAAAGCCAGATAGAATTTGAAAATTAAAGTCAAAAGAGGACATAAATGTGTTTTTTGTTTGCGTGCTTGTTTGGGGGGTTTTGAGGGGTTTTGTTGTTGTTTTTGGTCTTTATTGTTTTGGGATTTTTGTGTATTCTGGTGTGAGCCTTCAGAATAAATTCCTTACATTTTCTGTTATGAAACAGAACCACCTATTAAAAGAAATATATGAATAATCATGACTGATAATATTTAATATATCTCAAAGATACTTTTCCTGAATTTACCACTATCTTTTCTTTACTAATCTTACAAATATAAGTAAAAAAATAAATTGTCTCATTTTCTGAATAAGTCGACTCATCTATTATTTTGCACAGCTTGTTGATAAGGTAATGAAAAATAGAGCTTTCAAAATTATTTATTCCTTATAGCTTTATTTCTCACTGTTCTTCATGATGTGATCATAGGTTTTTGACAAAGCGAGAGCAAAAACTAATGCAGCGACGGCAACATGCAGAGGAGCTCCTGGAGTGGAAGAGACGGTTAGATGCAGAAGAAGCGGAAATTCGTCAAATGGAAAAGCAGGCTTTGGCTGCCTGGGACAAAGAATTAACAAAGCCGAAAACTCCTAAGAAAGAACCAGAGGACCAAAGAACAGATCATAAAGGTAATGAATACTAACTCTGTTCAGACTAAAAACTAAAGCTTATCCTATTTGAAAGATTTATTTCATTTCTTGTTAAAACATGACTAATTAAAGATAAAGCAGACAATACAACTGTAAATGCTGTAGAACTTAGATAAGAAAATATGGTGAATAACTTTTTGCTAACACAAATTTGAATATTTGAAGACCTCCTCTATCTTCAGTAGTATTCTGGACATTCAAGGGGGAACCTCACGCGTATCATTATTTACTTTTCTGTAGGATAGAAAAAGAGGCATTTCTCAATTCATTTTATGAGGTTAGCATGTAACTTTGATATTAAATTTATAAAAGGACAGTATCAAAAAGGAGAAGGCTAGCCTCCTCTATCTTAAATAAATATTAGTACACCAGCTCCAATCATATAGTAAATCTAATATTTCATGACCAAGTGGGGTTGAGCATACATTAAAAAATAATAATGTGGTAAATTATCATAAATAGATTAAAGGAGAAAAAAATACATGACCAGGTCAGAAAAGTTGTTTAATAACATTTGTGATAAAATGCACAAACCTTTAATTAATCCAGCCATAAAAAGGAACTTTCTTTACCTAATAAAGGGTATTGATAAAAACAAAAAACTTGGGCCTGGGGATGTGGCTCAAGCGGTAGCGCGCTCGTCTGGCATGCGTGCGGCCCAGGTTCGATCCTCAGCACCACATACCAACAAAGATGTTGTGTCTGCCGATAACTAAAAAAATAAATAAATATTTAAAAAAAAAAAACAACTTACACCAGATATCATACTTAGTAATGAGATATAGAAAGCTTTCTCTTTGAATTTGGAAATAAGACAAAGATGCTTATTTTCACCTTTATTAAGCATTGTGTATAGGTTTTAGACAGTTCATTGTAGCTAGAAAAAGAATTAAAAATCATAGATAGTGGGAAGAAGTTAAATTCTCATTATTTACAATTGGTAACAGCTATGCACATAGAAAAATCCAGCACTTAGGTGTTACTGGAATTAATAAATGAGTGTAGCAAGGTTGCTGGTTATAAAATCCATAAAACAAAAACTCAGTTATATGTCTGTACACCAGCAAAAAATTGGTTAGAAAAATCTGATTTTTTTTAAAAAAAAGATACACACTTCTGGTGGCCAGTCAGTGTTTACTGAGGAGGCGGTTAGGTTGACTGTGCCATGAGGCCTGGAATGTGTAGTCTGGTAGCCATGGGCGAGTTCCCTACTAGCTCCAGTCTTGGTGATGTGCTCAGATTGTAGCTGTCAGGGTATTATAATGCTGTCTGATACTAATCTGGCTGTTGGAATCCCCAGTAGTAAAGTAAAATATTCAAGGCTCTCTAGCACAGTCGAAGGCTACATTGATCTTCAGTTTAAGAAAAGCTCTCCTAAGATTCCTTATAAGACCACTGCACTTGCCACTGTGCTGTTTTTGATTGGTACCTTTCTCATTATCATAGGCTCCCTCCTACTGTCAAGCCATATCAGTAAAGGGTAGTGGTGCAGACCAGGCCCTTCCTGTTCTGCTCATTGGCATTCTGGTGTTCCTGCCGGCACATTGCTGATTATGCATTTAAGGCTGGCAGGGTTACTCCTATGATGACATTCCAGACATTGATGACTAACACTCACTTCAGCCCTGAGACAAGTCACAGTGAGACTGAGCCCAGCTTTAAGATATTGAACAGAAACTATGCTAAGGGCTGGGGAATCGTGCAGTTTTCAGATGTTTGACAAAACAATGACCAGAGTTTATGGATCCATTCCAAAAATGTTCACTGAGCTGAATTAGCTGATTAAATTAGGAAATGCTCTGTTTTTCATCCAGCCCTGGCAAAACTCAACAAGTTTTTCCACATGAATATGTATCATGGAAGAATAGCAGTGCTAATTGTCTGGGAAAGCAGGAGGTTATTCTGTTCTGGAAAGCATTACCATTCCCTCCCTCTTTAGAACGAACATTTCTTTTGAATAGTCTTCATTGTCAATTTGTTATTGTAGCAAATGAAAGAGTATGGTATGTCTAATTTCTTAGTTTCTAAATAATTTATTTTTTAAATATCAAAAGATCTTATCCCCTACACTTAACTCTACGTTCACATTCTGGTGGAAGACCTCCATAAAATCATATATTAATATGGATGCGTCTAATATTTTTTACTTTGTTTTTTAGTGACAGGAACCAGGAATTTTTTAAGCTGCAGAGTAAGTTTTCAAAGTATAAGCACTGTCTCTGATAACCAATTCTTGGCCAGATCTGATCTTATTTCCCACTAGGTTGGCCTGCATATAATTTGAGTCATTCTATCCTTTGTAGATCAAGAAGTTCTATGTATCATGCCTTAAAAAAAAAAAAATACACATAAAAGCCAAAAATATGAAGTATTTTTTTTACCTATTTGTAAGTTTTACAAAAAGTATGCAAGATTTTTTTTTTAGTACCAGGAATTGAACCCAGGATTGCTTAACCACTGAGCCACATCCCTGGCCCTTTTTATTTTTTATTTAGAGACAGAGTCGCAGTAGGTTGCTTACAACCTCACTAAGTTGCTAAGGCTGGCTTCGAACCTGTAATCCTCCTACCTCAGCCTCCCAAGCCACTGGGATTACAGGCATTTGCCACCATGCCTGGCCAGTATACACAATCTTTATGAAGGAAAATTTAGAATTTTATTGAGAGACATTAAAGTGAACTAAAGTAAATGGGACATTATTCCATATTCATGGATAGATTCAATGTCATGAGACGTTAATTTTCCCTGAACTGATATGTAGATTTCAAGGCAATTTACATCAGAAACCCAACAAGATTTCTTTATAGTGTTTGACAGACTCATTAAAAAATTGATATGCAAGAACAAAGACCAAAAATTAAAACATTTCTAAAGAAAAACCAAAAATACAGGAACTTACTTTACCATATATCAGGACTTAAAACAGTATGATATTTGCAGAGAGATAGAGTGTGAAGCAGAAAAAGACCCATCCATCTATGAAAAGTTGACTTTTTACACAGGTAGCTTTGCAGAACCATAGAAACCCTGTCTTATAAGTGTTTATGGGAAGAAATAGTGAAGTTGGATCCATACCTGATATGAAAGATCTGTTCCAGAGGGGAATTATTATAATTTCTTTCCTTCTACTGATTTTAGATTTGATTTGTTTTTGTTTTTCTAAGACCTTGAGCTGCATAATTAAAAGTTATTTATTTGAGAGCTTTCAACTCTTTTAATATAGGTGCCTAGCTATAAAATTCCCTAAGTACTGATTTCACTATTTCCCACAGATTCTGGTATGGGTTTTTCTATTTTCATTTGATTCTAAGAATTTTTAAAATCCAACCCCCCAACCTGATTTCTCCAGAAATGAACTATGGTTCAAAAGTATATTGTTCACTTTCCATGTGTTCTTATAATCTCTATAGTTTTTCTTACTGTTGATTTCTACTTTCGTTCCATTATGATCTGATAAGAAGCAAGAAACTGTTTTTTATTTCTTAAGACTTGCTAAGATATGTTTTATAAAAAGTTTTATGTTGATGAAAAGAATATGTACTCTATAGCTATTGAATAGAATATTGTATATGTCTACGAAGTATATTTGACCTACAGTATAATTTAACTCTGATGTTTCTTTGTTGATTATTTTGTCTGGATGCTGTTTTTATTCCTGAGAGTGGGGTATTAAAATCATCCACTATTATCATTTTGGGTCCTATTTTTCCCTTTGTGTCTAATAGTGTTCATTTTATAAAATTGAGTGCTCTGAGGTTCAGTGCATTTATTTATCATCATATCTTCTTAATGGACTATACCCTTTATCAATAAAGGTATTGATAAAGGGTATAGTCCTCTTCTGAGTGTAGGATTCTTTCGAGTATCTTGTGTAATGCTGAGCTAGTGGTCATGAATTTCTTCAGATTATACTTATCTCAGAATGCTATTATTTCTGAAGGATGGATTTTTCTGAATATAATAATCTAGGTTGGTAGTTATTTTATTTCAGGACTTGAAACATCATCCTGCTCTGTTGGCCTTCAGTGTTTCTACTTTTAAAAGTCTGTTGGTTTTTCCTCATGTGACATGGTGTTACTCTATTGGTTTTTCCTCATGTGACATGGTGCTTTTCTCTTATAACTCTTTATATTCTTTCTTTCTTTCTGTAATTTTGGCAGTTTAACTATAATATATCCTAGAGATGTTCTTTTCTTGTCATGTCTATTTAGGGTTCTAAATGTCTCTGTACCTGGATGGCTATTTCTTTCCCAAGATTTGGGAAATTTCCTGGCATCATTTCACTGAATAGGTTTTCTGTGCTTTTAATCTGTGTAGTTCTTCTCCATTGCGTACTCTGTGTGTGGTATGTGTGTGTGTGTGGTCTGTTAATGGTATACCATAGATCTTCAAGTTCTTCTTGTTTGTTTGTTTGCTTACTGCTATCTGAATGTGATAATTTATCAACCTTGTTTTCAAGTCCTGATAGTCTTTCTTCCACTTTCATGTGAGGGTTCCTAGTAAGCAGCCTTCTTTTGACTATGTGCCCTAGGATATCAGTTTCTTATGTAGTGTTAAATTTAATTCCTGATGGACTTTGTAGTGTAGTGTTTTGGTGGCTACTTGAGCTGTAATTAGTAGTTTTGACACTGTGTATGCTGGGTCAAAGCCTGAGGGATGTGCTGTCTCACGGGAGTGGGTTCCCTCTGATAATTCAGGTAGGTGTGCTATAGACAGCAAAATATGTGTAGTGCATCCTCTGTGGTTACTCCTCCAGACTTATCAACAATATGTGGTTCTAAAAGGGTATCGGAGCAGCCTGTTCTAAGCTCTCCCATAGGTACACAACAGTTGCTATTTCTCCCTGCTGTTCCTGTGGGGGTGGATGTCCAGGAGCAGGACTTAAGGCCCTCCTAGCTGGGCCTGCTTATGGGTGGATCATCAGCTGGGGAATTTTATCTTGCCTATTCTTCAAGTTGAAATATCTGCCAAGTTTTGTG